ACCCCGCGCGCCCGGCCTACTTCCGACTCCGCCGCGCGACGCTGCCCGCCGGGAGGCGGCGCCGGGCCTCCGCTCACCAGTAAGCCGGCCTCCACCCCTGTGTCCCCGGGCTCTGTCCCCGCGCGCCTCGGCCTCCACCCCGGCCCCTCGGAGGGAGGCCGAGGCCGGGGCTGCGGAGGGCCCTGCTGGGCGCCCGCCTCGGGTCTCCTGGCTGCGGCCGCCACTTCCTCTCTCGACCCGCGGGGCCCTCACGTGCCTTGGCACCCTCTGGACTCGCGTTGCCAGGGCGGGGCTGAGCCGGCTCCGTGCAGCGCCCCTCTGCCCCCGCCCTTCTCGCTGCCCCGGGGGTCCTGACGGCCGCACCAGAGGTTCTGGGGGCGTGATGGCCCGGGAGGTGGGTGTTCCGGGCTGGGGTGCAGGATTCACTCGTTTCTGGGATGAGAAACAGCGCCACTGGCGACTGGTATGGCGCTTGTCCAGTTGGCTAGAAGCTTCCAGATTCTCTCAGCTAGTGCTGGCCAGCGGACATAGCGCGCGAGCCACGAGTGGGATTTTGAAACAGGTGAAATTCACTTAGTAATTGTTTGAGCCCGATCTACCTCCGGTGCGGTCCTTTCTGGATTTGGTCAATAGAAAACGTTTAATGAGGTATCCTGCGATTGTTTTTCCTGTGAAGTCTTCAAGCCTCCGTGTACATTTTGCACTTTACGCTGCGTCTTAACTCGGACTGACCACACTTCGAGTGCGCCGTGCCCACCGGCAGCTTGCAGCTACCCTTAGCGTCAGGACCCATCAGTGGGAACTCCTGGCCGTGGAAGTCAGTGTGTGCCTCTGTTCTGCCCCTGCTTCTTGCCCACGGGTGGCTTTAACCTCCCCACTCAAGACCACCCGCCACTCCCGACAGGCCTTCTCCAGCGGCCCTTCCACCTGGAACGCTCTTCTGGGCTCCATGGCCTCTGCAGAGAGGCTTTTCCCGACTCTCCTCACCCCATAGGGGGTGAATTGGGCCTTCCTCTATGTTCCCTTGGCGCGACTCCTCCCGAGGTGTTTTGAATTGTTTTTGAGACTCTCAGGCTGGTCTGATGTCCCGGTCATCTTTGTTGTGATCTTGGCTGGCGCTTGATAGTTGTTACTTGCATACAGAATGAGTAAACCTCTAGCCAGCTGCATCTGGGGTCTGATGTCCCAGTCATCTTTGTTGTGATCTTGGCTGGCGCTTGATAGTTGATACTTGCGGACTGAATGAGTAAACCTCTAACCAGCTGTATCCAGTCTCCCAATTCTGGAACTGACCTTGTTTAGAAGGCTGATGCCGGTGTTACCCTCGCCCACGTTTGTGTGCCCATCCACACACACCCTTGCAACTAACCAGGTGTGCAGAGAAAGCAGCTACTCTTAACTTTCTCCTGAGTTTACAGGTGGGAAAACTGAGGTACAGATCTGAGTTAGGGTGGTCAGTAAATTCACATTAATGTAAACACAAAGAAGGGTTGTTGAGTCTGATCTCCAAGGGTTAGATTCCTCAGCGGATTAGGGTCAGCTGGCTCCACTTTGCTCATGTGATAGGAGGGAAGAGAAGTGGGAGGGTGAATCATTCCTGGACCACGATGAAGATTCCAGGGGGGTTCAGGTGGGAAGCTGAGGGTGTCACTGATGGAGAAAGTTGAAGAGGACAGTGGTCACCCCAGATCATGAAAGTGCTGACCTGAGAAGGGTGGGAGAGAACAGGTGGGGTAGAAGGGAGGATTGGGAAGCAAGCAGAGGGGACAAAGAAATAGACTCCCGCTTGAAGAAGACATTGGTGTGATATACAGAGCAACCACTTCCTAGGAGACCTGTGCCAGTCTTAGTCTGCAGAGAAAAATGGAGAGAATCAGAGATTCAGAGAAGGCAAACCTCAATCAAATTCACATAGCACTTCAAGCCCACACGAAGCCTCCTGAGTCCTTCCTGCCCCAATCACCTAGCTTCCCTGACACCTCAGTTGCAACCAGGGGCCTCAACTTGGTACCTCAGAGAAGAGTCTGGGGCAAAGTGTAAGGCCTGATTAATGTCATCCCTACCATCTCCTGCCGAGGGGCTGTGACTAAGCCTATTTATAGGGGCCCAGTGCCTTAATATTCTGCCTGGTGCGGCTCTTGCCAATCAAATCAGTTCTTCTGCAGTGTGATTGCTGCTTTAGTGGCACCAGGGAGCAGAGTTAATTAAACCCAATATAAATAGACTCTGCCCTCGCCTTGCAATTCGAAGGAGTGTTTTTCCTTTCTGTCCCCCACCTCCACAGGCTCCTCCTGGCTCCCCTTAGATGAACAGAACCTGGTCTCTGTGAGTGAAGTCGCCGACCACTGCCTGTCCTCTCTCAAGAACAGGCCCTGAGTTCTTCAGGAACCGTAGTCAGAGAACCCAGAAGTCCACATTTTCTGTGCCTTTCCTGCCCAGAGTACCATTTATCAGTTGATACAGGCAGTCTCTCCCCCCCACACACACATCCATCCCTCTGCCTCCAGCCTTCCCCCACTCTGCAGCCAGGGTTCCTTTGTTGTTCATCCAGGCTTGGGTGGTCGAAATGAGACAATGTATTCCCATTGTCTCTATTGTCCCTACCCACTCCCCCCTCCATAAACATCAGCAGAATGCCAGCTCCTCTGGGCTCCTGACCGCCTTCCTGCCCATGCTCTCTAATTAGCCTGTTGCCCACCTGTGCAGGCTGAAGCTGGAGGGGTCAGGGCGAGGGACTTGCCCTCTCTCTGGTACCCTTGCCCTGCCGCGGGTGGCTTTGGGCGAGGGGGGTGGTCCTGATGCTCTGGTTCCCACCCACAGGCACCATGACGCCCATGAGGACCCAGAATGCCTTGGCAGGCCAGACCTACGCCGTGCCCCTCATCCAGCCGGAGCTGCGGCGAGAGGAGGCCATCCTGCAGGTGGCCGACGCCCTGCAGTACCTACAGAAGGTCTCTGGAGACATCTTTAGCAGGTGGGTCCCGCCGCCCTCCCAGACCTGACCAGAGGCTGCTCCCTGTGGAGCAGTCATCTCTGTTGTTAGGCATCAGGCCTCTGGGAGCAACTCTTTGGGTGATTCTTGCTTTTGGGGGGTGAGGGAAGACCCTACCCCCCAAAGCTAGTAGCCTAGCTTAGAACTTGTCTCCTAAGCACTCACTACCTGCTGTCCCGCTTAGCTGCCTGCTAAGCAGGGGGGATCCCCACCTGTCCCCCCTCGTCCCCCTCACTACCTCTCCCTGTGCTGGTACTGCTCTCCCAGATGCTGTTTCCCTTCTAAGGGCCTCTTCTGTCACTCACCCCAACAGTCAGCAGACATTTTCAGTGTGCAAGGCACTGAGCTACTCTAGTTACAGCAATGAATATACAGCGTCCCTGCAAGGAGAACGTATACTCTGGCAGGAGAGACGCTCTCATTAATCAATTGTATGTATTTAATTACAATTCTGAGAAGTTGATCCATAATGATTTTGTGATAACTAGTGTTGGACAGCAGGAGCTGGGTGCCACCCCCCAGCTGTGGGTCTGCTAATCCCAGCAGCCCGTCTGGCACCATTTTTTACCTGCGGTTCTGCATTTCTAGACAAGGTCAGAACTGCCCAGCCAATCCGTGTAGGAGCTCAACCCTGCAAGGTGTTGTCTCCTTTCTTTTTTTTAAAGATTTATTTATCTATGCAAACAAGAAGAGGAGTACAGGCCTGAGGATTCACCAGAGACAGTGGGGAGCAGAACAGGCAGGTCAACTGAAATACTCTGCTGAGGGGAGCAGCAGGCCATCAGGAGAGAGTGCTGTGCCATGTGGGTCAGCTCCCCGAGCAGAAAGCTTGAGCCCCCGGGAAGGGCACCATCGTGAGGTGCGGTACTGTCAGCACAGCAGAGTGCATCAAGCCATTTAATCCTCGCGGCATCTTCATGCAAAGGTATCACTACATAAGAGGAACCTGAGGCACAGACTTACCCAGGCAGTGGAGCCAGGGGCACACCCAAGTATTAAAGCCCCAGACTCTGCAGTTATTACTGTCCTCTGAAGGGGCGCTGAGCTGCTGTGAGACTTAGCGGGGGGGCATGCTGTGGTCCTGGGGGATCATGAAAGGCAAACGTGAGGGGGCAAAGATAAGCCTATGGGTGGGCAAATCTGAATGGTGAGTGGGAAGTACTGTGAATGGGTCAGTAGGTAAGAATGTTCCAGAAAGAAAGAAGGGCGTGAGCGTGTGCCTTGAGGTGGAAGGACCAGAGTGGAAGCCAGTGATGGGAGGCAGAACAGTGAGCAGGTTCATGAGGCATCAAATTGTCACAGATTCTGAGGTGGGGAGTGGCAGCTCTTTTGTCTAGCACAAGCCAGACGTGCGTGGGCTTGCGTGACTTTGCACTCAGTGCTTAGCTGAATAGATGAATGGTGTCTGCTGTCTCCTTGAAAGGGTCCAGGTTTTGTCCTTAATCGGGTCCTGTCTCTGGCCATGAGCAGCCAGACTTGGGGCTTAGTCCTCCTGCCCGCACTCACATCACCTCACAGGGGACCTGTTATCCTGCCCAGTGTGACGCGCTTGCCTGCCTGGCCCAGGTCTTCTCCTGTCCGAGTCACCCCCGGCCCATTTATACCTCTGACCAGGAATTCCTCGCTGCTTCTCACATAGTAGGAAGCCCATCTTTCCAGAAGCCTTCCCCAAGGGGGCAGAGAGTGGGGTCACTCTCCTGCTGCACTTGGTGGAAACACCAGGCCCTGCTGACCCTCTGCCCTGCCCTGCCACTTGTGCACCGGCCTGCCTGCCCCGAGCCCATCTGGAACCCACTGCAGCCTCAGAACTGAAGGATGGTGCCTCGGGTGGTCAAGCCGAGGCTGTCTGGGCTCCAGTCTGGCTCTCCGCTTGGCTTGTCCTGTAGCCTCAGGCAGGTACTTGGCCTCGCTCTCTGCCTCGTATATGAAGTGGTGATGATAACGGTACCTTCCTGGGAGGACTGTGGTAGAGATTAAAGGGATGAAATCATGGAATGCAAAAAGTGCCTGACTTACAGTAAATGTTCACTCCATTTGCTGCTGAACCCTTCCCAGTGCTGCCTTGGTGGCCCGCCTTGACCTGCTCTCAGGAGCACAGAAAGCATTAGGCACAGTGGCCTTCCGGGCGCATTTCCACCCAAGGAACACTAGGAAGGGCACAGGCCCTGGAGCCATCGGCCCCAGGTTACGGCCAGCCCTCGCTTGCTCAGGGTGCGAGGTGGAAGCCAGGACAACCACCTGAAATATTGGCGGCTGTAGGCTCACCTTTCCCCAAGGGGCAGTTGGATGTTTACCATATTTTCCTTTCCTTGTAGACAGATTCGGGCCCCTGCCCTGGACGGAAGAAACAGGGTGGGAAGGCCATCTGCTGGGGAGCAGCTGGGCCCAGGGAGGCCCAGCAGGGCAAGAGGCCTCTCAGGAGCCCTGTTCCTGAGTCTAGGCTCCTCCCACTGCCAGTTCTAGGTCAGCCCACTGACCTCTCAGGACACGTGGCTCCTGCCCTGCATTTAGAACCTAGAGTGGATGAGCAGTAGGACTGGGCTGATTAGCTGCCTGGCTTGTACTGTGGGGGCTTCTGGGCATCTCAAGAGGAGGAGTGAGAATTGGTGGCATCGTTTTAGCCCGAATTCCCCGAGCCAGCTTCAGCAAGAGTAACCCCGTCAGCAGTGCAAACTTAGAGCCGCAGGGCTGCAGTGATGTTGGCAGGACTGGTTTTTTTCTGCTTTCATTCTGTCCAGCTTGCTGCTGCTAACCTGGCCGCATTCCCAGACGCCCTCGCTCTGTGTGACAAGGTACCAGCCAGCAGGGTGTGCGCGAGGTTCAGCTCCAGCAGCAAGGGTACTTTTCTCTGCACCAGCACCCCCAGGAGCCCCTCAGCCTGGTCTGGCCGGGTGTTTGTGACCTGCCCAGAGCCAGCTGCTGGGGTTGTGGCGTTCTGGGCTCAGCTCTTGTCACATTTGTTCCCCTGTGCCCTGGGTGTGGGCCCACGGGAAGTGCAGGGACTGCGCCAGGTGGTGATGGCTTCTCCAAGGGAAATGTGAGCATCTGTTGAATAGGACGGCGATGCTGGAGGGCAGCACCGCGTGCCTGCTCACCAGGCAGGGGAGGACTCTGAAGGAGGGCCCGAGCTGGCCCGTGGTAGACGGCGGCTGCCCGGTGGAGTCGGAGAGCCAAGCGAGTGGCGCGTGGCGGTGGCAGACTCCTGGGGAGGTGGCCACCTTGCTGCCTGCCCCACACGCTGCACCGCAGAGGAGCGTGCTAAAAGGCCCCTCCGTGAGCCGTGGGTCTTGCTCCCCGTCTGGAGTGTCGCCTCGCATTTCATCACCTCCACAGGGCCGGGGAGGGTGGTGAGGGAGAGAGAAGTCGGGCAAGTAAGCTAGGTCCCCCCCCCCGGAGGCTTCGAACAGGCCAGGGTTTTGCCTCAGGAGTTTTAGGGGGCCACCATTGATTCCTGAGCGGGACATGATGGGACAGAAGAGTTTGGGGGAAGGCCCACCAGGCACCTGTCACAGAGTGGACAGCGGTGGGGAGAGTGGATTCCAGGGTCCGCCTGCAGCTGTTACTGTGGTCAGCCTGGAAGGACCGAGGCCAGGGGAGCTGCAGGCAGGGAGGAAGACTGACACATTGGGAACAAGGATGAGGGAAGCAGCAGCCAGGGATGATGGTGGAGTGGGGAGTGCAGCCCTCTCCCCATTTCCCCCAACCCTGCCTGCAGCCTCCCCCCTAAGCCTCCTTCTCCTGTTGGAAACCTCTTGCAAAGAAGTGGCAGGTGGGCAGACAGAAACACTTTGTATCTCTACTCCCCCTCACTCCCCCATGTCAGGCCCAGCCCTGCCCGGCCCCACTGCAGCCTGTGCCCAGTCCTGCAGGTAGGTGAGCTCATGGAAAATTAGCATTCCAAGCCTGCATCCCTGCCTCCTGCTCTGCCGCAGCAGGAGCAGTGCAGAGACGGGAGAGAATGACAAGTACCTCCGCTCTGGCCTAGCTCCTTCCACCCCTCTCTGGCACCTCTCCCTGCCCTCCTCTCACCTGAGAGAAGGTAGGCCCAAAAATATCTGCCCAGGGACGCCACCTGCTTCACATGACAGACTACAGGGCAGAGGAGCTGGCCAGCGTCGGGTGGGAGTTGGGGTGCTGCACCTCGCCTCCCCCATCAGCCCCAGCCTGGCCATTTCACAGAAGCTGCAGCTGCTGTCGCGCTCCATCCCCGTTTCCTTCCTCCACTCCCCTTCTCACTTCCGCCTTTCCCCTTCTCATCACTTCCTCTTTCTCAGCCTCACCCTCTCTCAGTCCGTCCATTTCCCACCCCTTCTTGCTGGGACTCCCCAGGTCAGGAAGCACTCAGCTGCCTGCATAACTGGCACAGCATCTGCGCGGGAGGCTAAGGCAGGAACCGGGTTCAGGCTCCGCGGTGCCCGCCATGGGCAAGAGAAGCCGCAGTTCTGGGTCCGGAGCGGTGCTCCTGCCCGCCACCTCCAGACTGGCCTAGAAGCCTCCGTGGGGAGTGGGGTGTCAGCCTTGGAGATGTGGGGCAGGGAGCTCAGCAGTGTCCCAATACCCCTCCATGCCCCACAGCAGGAGTCGCCTGGTCATCCGGTGCCAGAGGCGGCCCTCGTGGCCCCGTGTGCTCCGCACCCTGCCCTCTGCTCTTGCAGAGCTCCCGGGACTCCTCCTGTCTGCCCCACGCTGCTCTTCTCAGCTCCCCACCCCCTACGTGTGTGTCGGGACAGGTTCTTGCCGGCTTCCAGGTGGCCAGAGCCCTTCACCCCCAGGCTCACGGATCTGATAGGGAACTGTAGCCACGGCGTGTCAGCCAGTACAGGCGCCCAGACAGCATTCGCTCACGTTTGCCTCTGCGTGGCTCCATCATTCAGACATTGCTGCTCCTGTTTTTTAGTTGAAGCAGCTGAGACCAACTGAGTGGCTTCCACTTCGTAGTTCAGTAGCAGCCACGCTGCTAGTAGGGACTCCGCTGTCAGCGGCTGGCTCCTGGCAGGCTGCAGTCTCCTTGAGGGCAGGTGTGTGCTCAGCCCTGCCCCTCAGCACTGTTTTGCAAACCGAGCAATTCAGAACTTACTTGTTGCACAGTGAAGGGTGGGAAGGAAAAGCCAAAGGGGAGACATGCTGGGCAGAGTTGCTCCTGCAGAGCAGGTAGGGGAAGATGAATCAGCGAGGCCCAGGCTCACAGCAGGCTGAACGGGCCCTGGTCCATCCGTGTCCAGCAGAGGCGCCTCCCCTGCGAGCGCTGGGTGGACATGCCGTGGGGCGCGGCGTCAGTGATGACGCTGAGACTGACCTACCTTGGAGTAGACAGAGCTCACCTAGGGGTCTAGGTCAGGAATGGCAAAATGCCCGCGTCACCATTCCCCTGGACCCACTGTGTTCTAACACCCTTCTGGACAGCCTTCCTGTCCGCCTCTGCCAGTCTGTAGGATGGGGCGTGAACGAGAAGCTCTTCCTTGGCCTCGGCCTGTTCGCTCCTCAGCACCATCGCACGTGACTGCAAGGAACTAGGTCACCATGGGGCTTTGCCAACGAGCAAGTCGTTACTTAGGCGTACAGGCACCAGGCCTGGGAATCACGTCTTCATTCCCCGGCCCACGCAGGCCCTCCCTGGGAGCAGCTGACGGGTGGTCGTCCAGCTGGAGTCTGCCCACTGTTCCGAGTGATGCAGTTTTTGGGCCAGAGCCCCCTTGTGCTGAGCTGAGGCTGCCCCTGGGTAAGACCGCCGGGTCCTGAGACAGCCTTTGGGGTGACAAAGTCTGATTGTTTCACCACCTAGTGCTGCTTTTAAAATTTTGGTATTTGAAGGGAATTAGTACATTCTCTACGTCATCTCATCTTTAGCCAGAACACCCTTCGGTCACTGTGTAAGAGGGGGCTCCTCACGCACTGCCCCCACCTCTGGGTGTTAACTCGTCACTTTTTATTCAGCCAGTGTTTGTGACACAGAGCCTGTCTGTCAGGCCCTGACCCAAGTGCTGGAGAGACAGCAGAGAGTAAGACAGAGTAAGACCCTTTCGTCAGGAAGGGAATCCAGAGCGCTCTCGCAACGTGGGTTGTGTTTAAAAGGGCAGCTGTGGGTGCCAGGTATGGACGGACTTGCTGACCCGAGGCCCTGTCTTCTCTGGAGCGCTTCCAAGAGAGAGGATGTTCCCCATTTATTGAACGAAGGAAGGAGCGCAGGGAGGGACGAGGAGCGGTGAGCACCAAGATCTCACTTCCTTTTTAAGCTGCTTAACATGCTTCTGGCCCACACCGAGTTACAGTTAACCAAAACCTTGGTCTTTTTTCACCTCAACTGCTGCAAAATCTCATCTATGCCCATGCTTTTGCCTCCTCAAGCCTAAATGCTGGGTGTGAGTCTTTTCTTGTTGATTTTGTCTTACTGGTTGCCGTTCACCTTTCTGGCCTTTCAAGTTTACTCAAGTCTTGATCCAATGTGCAGACCCTTTTCCTCCCCCTTGGCTAATCAAGTGTTGGATGAGCTGGAGACCTTCCTACAAGGCTGACATCAGTCTGTTCTGCAGCACTGCTGTTCTTTGGGCTCAGATGTCCCCTCGATAGTCTCTCCGCCACCCCCGCGCTCCACTTTGTCCAGACGGTTTTGTGAGAAGCCGTCAAAATTCTTGCTGACTCGAGACACCCAGCATTGAAGGTTTTCCCTTGACACATTCTAATAGCCCTGTCAGGAAAAGAAATGTGGTGAATTTGGAATAACACTGGTCCCTGAGATCTAACTTCTCAGTGCTTATTTAGTGGTGCAGTCTGAAATTCGCTAAGGTTCATTGTTTAGCTTGGTGGTTACAACTTTGAGAAATGAGCCCTCCCCTCCTTGAGGGGAGCACCAGGAAGAGTGGCCATCCTCAAGTCCCTGGTGGCTCCCTAACCACTGAGGCTGCTTCAGCACCCACGGCGAAAGGCTGAGCTGGAAACTGAAGCAGCAGCTGGTAACAAGTACCCTCCCATGGCATCATGGATGGTGCTGGAGGCAGGGGATGACTGGCAGGAGGCAGTGACTGATCAGCAGGGCAGAGTCCATGAAGCACATGTGCATTACTGGGTGCGGCTCATGGGTCTGTGACTCAGTGACACAGGGGAGGCCTGCAGGGCCCAGGCACTGTTCTGAGCACTGGGAATGCATAAGGGACAAATCAGTGCCTTCCCCTCCTCGCCCCCTCACCCCCTCACCCGAGTGCTTGTAGACTAGACACAGCAGGTGACTGTGGGAAGAGCGGTAGGTAGCAGAAGTGACAGGCACAATTTTAATTCTCGCTGGGAAGCTCCACGAGGGCATGGAGAGAGCCCGTCCTGTGGATGTCTGGGGCCCACTGAGAGGGAAGAAAGTGCATGAGCAGCCAGGATCTTGTGGACCGTGGTGAGGACTGTGGGTTTACTCATGACCCATTCACCCCACTTGGGGCAGCTCCTTGTGAACAAGTCTAGGATCTGAATTTAGGCCCAGAGTTGCTGGTCAGTGACCCCTGGTATCCACACTGTAAGTAGGGGAGTATGTCTGGATAAGTATTGCTGACTGTCCTCTTTAGGCTATAAACTCTAGGCGGCAGGACCCATGTCCCCTTGGGGCACCAGTTTGGGACTAGGGTGTGCCCATCTCACCCAGGTGCTAGGGTCAGCCCTGACAAGCTTCAAGAGCCCTGGCTCCAGCCTTGCAGGTCTGCTGTCAGGCGCAGGAGGCCGCAGTGGTTTTCTCCTTCCATGGCAGGATCTCCCAGAGAGTAGAGCTGAGCCGGAGCCAGCTTCAGGCCATCGGGGAGAGGGTCTCCTTGGCCCAGGCCAAGATTGAGAAGATCAAGGGCAGCAAGAAGGCCATCAAGGTAAGCCTCTGTGACCCTGTGCCCGATGGCTGGTGCGTGATCCCAGAACTGCATTTCCTCCCATCTCCCTGTGCCTCTCAGGGTCCCTGCTGTTGCTACTCAGCCACACCTCAAACTTCCCTCCTACCCCGAGCACCCAACTAGACTCTCGGGGGCCCCTAGAAATTTCTCTCCTTCACCCTGTGTTTACAGGTGTTCTCCAGTGCTAAGTACCCAGCTCCCGAGCACCTACAGGAGTATGGGTCCATCTTCACAGGTGCCCAGGACCCTGGTCTGCAGAGACGCCCCCGACACAGGATCCAGAGCAAGCACCGTCCCCTGGATGAGCGGGCCCTGCAGGTCCGGTGGGGCACAGCACAGCTTGGGTTATCGGTAGTAACCCTGGAGGGTCTGAGGCGCTGAGGGGGCCTATGTTAAGCCCTTAAGAGAATGCTCCAAGTGGATTCTGACTGGGAAGGGACAGTCACTTTGGCTTGGTGCTGAAATCCACCATCCCTGTCACTTCCTACTCCCCTAGGAGAAGCTGAAATACTTCCCTGTGTGTGTGAGCACCAAGCTGGAGCCTGAAGATGAGGCCGAGGAGGGGCTCGGTGGTCTCCCCAGCAACATCAACTCTGTCAGCTCCCTGCTGTTGTTCAACACCACCGAGAACCTGTAGGCCAGAAGGCGGGGCTGCAGTGTGGTGGGCGGGGCCTCAGAACCAGGTGCAGGTCTGCACTGGGGAGCTGGTAGCTGGCAGTTTGGCTTGTCATGCGAGGCATGGGACTCCACAGGAAATGAAATATGGGTCAGGGCCGCAGGCGTACAGCAGACTATGGACTGCCTGGCCTGTGCCATCTCTCTGTAGGTACAAGAAATATGTCTTCCTGGACCCCCTGGCTGGTGCTGTTACAAAAACGAATGTGATGCTGGGATCAGAGACAGAGGAGAAGCTGTTCGATGCCCCTTTATCTATCAGTAAGAGAGAGCAGCTGGAGCAACAGGTAAAGACAAGGCTCAGGTGGCAGGAACCTGCCAGTTGGCAGTGCCTGCAGGCAGGACCTGCTTGAGCGTCTCACCCAGGCCCCTCTGCCCCAAGTCAGACTCATGTCTCAATCCTGGTAGCTGCCAACACTTCGTCCTGCAGGTTCCAGAGAACTATTTCTACGTGCCCGACCTGGGCCAAGTGCCCGAGATTGATGTGCCCTCCTACCTGCCTGACCTGCCCGGCATTGCTGATGACCTCACATACAGCGCTGACCTGGGCCCTGGCATTGCTCCCTCGGCCCCTGGCACTATCCCAGAGCTGCCCACCTTCCACACAGAGGTAGCTGAGCCCTGTAGGCCAGGTGAGATGGGCTTGGAGTGGGGCTGGGAGTGCCCCCACTTGTCCACTATGGTCACCTCACACTTCCTGTTTCAGGCCTAGAAGATGGGGTGCTAACAGCACCTCCACCTCCTCCTCCTCCCCCGCCACCTCCCCCAGCTCCAGCGGTGCTGGTCAATGCACCCCCACCACCGCCCCCACCCCAGATCATCGCCTCTGCTAGCCAAGATGCCAGGGAAGGTGACAGGGACATGGTGTCTTCTTCAGGTAGGAGCAGCATGCTGGGAGGGGCAGGGTTGTCACTCTTAAAGGTCCAAGCATTCACAGATACTGCTCAGATACTGTATTTCCAGAGTTGTTTTCATGTCAGATACCTTGTCCCATTGGCAACATAGTAGTCATCAAACCACCTCTTTGGAGACCTAGAATTCTAACCTGTGAGGTAGAGGGAATCTGAAAAAGTGGGTACCCCATTGCTACTTAAAACAATAGAGAGAGGGCTAAAGCCACTTCCGCATGAGTTCAATCCCCGCCCCGGAGGTGACCACATGGCGTGGCAGACCTCTCCTGGCCCACCCGCTACTCCCCTCAGCAGTGTACTTCGTCCATCTGCCTGTTCTGCTCCCCACTCTGTCTCTGGTGAAGCCTCTGGCCTATACCCCAGTTCTGTATGTACAAATAAATAAATCTTTAAAAAAAAATAGGGAGAGGACTACTGAAAATACAGTACAAGCATCTGTGTGACCCTAAAATTTCAGAATTCATTTTAATGGCTCCCAGTACACCCAGAATGGCACAAAACCCCCTTGTGGGCTGATGTCAAATTCAGACACTGGGCACATGGGTCATTCCCAGCGTCTGCCTTTACCTCGGAGGTAAACTGGGTGGGGTTGGAGGGACCTGGCTCCCAGACAGAGCCTCCTGAGCCCAGGCAGAGGCAGTCAGCACAGTCCTTCAGGTCTCCAGAGGCACGGACTTCCTCTTTCAAGGGCTCTTCCTCACAGCCAGGAGGCGAAGGGAAGCCTCTGAGCCCCAGGATGTTAGGATGGGTGGACCCATCCCAACAACCTTCCCTCTCCACACCCCCCCCCCCCACAGCTCCAGTCCAGGGAGCTCCTAAGGAAGTGGTCGACCCTTCCAGTGGCCGAGCCACTCTGCTGGAGTCCATCCGCCAGGCTGGCGGCATTGGCAAGGCCAAGCTCCGCAGTGTCAAAGAACGCAAGCTGGAGAAGAAAAAACAGAAGGAGCAGGAGCAAGGTGAGGACCCACTCCAGAGGTGCTAAGGCAAGGGCCCTGCTCCCTCGGGTATGCGTGGAAGCTCTGGTGGCCATCCCACCTGAGTCAAGGATTGTTCCCTGACTCGGGCACCTGCTTAGTGGAACTTTGCTCTCTAAGCAGGTAAGGGACAGACCTCATCCTGTAGAAACTAGTTATGAAGACTCTCCTTGGACAGCTAGTGGCCTAAAGCAATGGTCAGGGGTACAGGAGCTGCCCAAGGACAGGATGCGCTCAGTCCTGCTTCTGTAGAAAGCTGTGAGGCTCCTTTCATAAGGTGGTTTATGCTCGGCCACAGCCGTACACTGGGGCTGTTCACACACGCCCTGTCTCACAGTGGAGCTGCGATGTTCTTGTTACCGTCTCAGTGCTGGTTCTGGTGGCCTAAACCCTGAGGAGCTCACCTCAAGGGCAGCACCCTCCCTCACAGGGCTTTCTCCTTGCAGTGAGAGCCACCAGCCAGGGCGGGGACCTGATGTCGGATCTCTTTAACAAGCTAGTCCTGAGGCGCAAAGGTAGGAGCAGCCCTGCCAGCCCCCCAGGGGTGGCATCTCCAGGGCTTCCTGTCCTGATACACCACCCTTTTCTCCCTGTTTTAAACTCTCCGGGGATTGGGTAAACTGGTGCCCAGACTAAGCCCTTTCCCTTCCAGGGATCTCCGGGAAAGGACCTGGGGCTGGAACGAGCGAGGGGCCAGGAGGAGCCTTTGCCAGAATGTCAGACTCCATCCCACCTCTGCCGCCACCCCAGCAGCCACCAGGAGAGGAGGATGAGGACGACTGGGAGTCCTAGGTGCCCCTGCTGCCAAGCCTGCCCTCCCTGAACAGCGGGATGGGGCTCAGCCATGGCCCCAAGGGACAGAGTTCATGGAAGGCTATCCCAGGTCTGGGCCTGGCCCTTCCTCAAGTTGCCGACAGGCTGCCTTCTAAGGTCAGTGGCTGGGGGCAGCGTTCACGCTCTGCCCAGTCACCAGCGTGCTCCCCTCTTCCCTAAAGAGACGAAGAGAAAATAGTACAATAAAGAATGACGCCAGGTCTGAGCACACATCAACAGAGCACTTTCATTCAGCAGCAAGTCTCCTCGAAGCCAGGTCTTGCCCTCCCTGGGAACAGAATACCGAGCAGACCAAGGCCCCTTCCCTGGGTCAGGGAGAGAGGTGAGTCACCAGGGACAGCTGCTGTAGGTAAGGGGAGGATACTTTCACACAGGAAAAACTGTCCTAGCGACAGACACAGGGTCTCTAAAAATAGTCTGCTGAGTGCCTAAATGGCCCTTGGTATAATTGCTGATGTCAAGGGAGGAGGTGACTTGAGTCTGCTCAAGTGGCTGAGGAGGGAGGGAGGAGGAGGCCAGGCTGCAGTTCCTGATTTAGAGGTAGGTGAGGTGATACGCCCCTGGGCCTAAGAGCGCCACAGACACCAGAAGCTGGAAATGAGAGCATTCTTATTTTCAATTTTAGCTACAAAAGGGGAGAAAAGGGAGGCAGGATGGACCTGTTTCACCTCTTAGCAGCCCAGTACTGAGAAACTCAACAAGGAGAGATGGCTGCAGCTGCCAGCACTGCCCACAAAGACTCACACCCTTCAGGGAGGGGAGCACCCTGAGATGAGCCCAAGGGTGCCCATCTTTTCTCAGATAGGCTTTTCCCACAATTAACCTGGGTCCTGGCAGCCCATGGTTTCCAGAAGGGGCAAATGTTTCAACCGGGCAGAGTGGAGGCGCCGCCTGGGAGTGGTGCGCAGTCAGGAAGCCGCAGACTTCTCACGGTGGAACTGAGGAGACAGGGAAAGGTGGTGGGACACCAGATCTTGGGCCAGGGCCCTCGGGGCAGTGGCAGCAGGACCCACCTTCCGTATGGCAGCAATGGCGTGGCCGAAGTTGACTTTGACCTGCGTGCAGTTTCGGATCCAGGCTGGGAGCTTTGCCAGGATCTGTGGGCGGGTGTAGCGGTGGTCCAGTAGCACTATGCTGGCGAAATCTGCCTGGTGCCTGATGGCCCTGCCTGGACAGAAGCAGACCTGGGTTAAACCTCCCCCACAGCATGTTTCCGTTGTCTCCTCCCCTTCCTCAGCCCTGAGGCTGGGAGATGGCAAGTAGAACTCCGCTTCCTGTCACCCTTCCCAGTCACCCGTCGCAGTGGCCAGGAAGGCCCAGGCTCACCTATAGATTGGTTGACGGCCTTCATACAGAGATTCTCCACCAAGGACTTCCCCGGGCAGGCCTGCCCTGGGGCTCTAGGCTAGAAAAGGGCAGAAGATATGACCCTTTAGGATTGTTCTTGTGCCTCCTAGCTGAGAAAATGACACTGCCAGGCATGGCAGCAAGATCACTGGGCTTCATGGACGCCGGCAGCTGACAGAATGGACAGTTAGGGAGAAGCTCGCGTGTCTGTAGGAGCAGCATCCCTTCCCTGCCACTTCAGAACAGGTTGGGGGGGGAGGAGTCACATAATGTGGCCCCGATTGCACCTGCCAGTCGCCCTCCCCGCGCCGCTTCTCTCACCCTCTGGAGTAGCGGATACTCACAAGGGTCCGGTCCAGGTAGGCCATCTTCTCCTGTAGCTCTGGAGACTTGATGTTGGGGTAGGGCATGCCCACCATAACCACACACCTAGGGGCACGCACATGGGGCTCAGACTCTCGAAGTCCAGGATGAAGGGCCAGTTGTCACCCACTGCCACTCCTCCCACCCTGAAGCTGTGCTCCATAACTGCCCTCCGCAGCCATCCACCACTACCACCTGGGAATGGGTCAGCTAAGAGATCCACCTGAAGCCAAGGGACAGTCTTCACAGCGATGGTCTAGCGAGCCGCGGGGCTGAGTGGCCGCAGCCGCCTCGCGCAAGCTTGGGAGGTCCCAAGCGCAGGCCAGGCCCTGGCGCTTGGAGTGAGGAGTGGTCAGCGTCAGGGGCCAAGTCCACCTCTTACCGGCCGAGGCTGTCGGAGAAGTTGATGCCTTCACTCATCTTCCCGCCGACGACAGAGAGCAGCAGTGCCCCTGTCATCTTGCCTGGCTGCTGGCCGCAGCTCTGCAGGAAATACCAGTCCCAGAGCTGCAGGCCATGGTGCCACCCAACAGCTTCTGCTGCCAGCCCCACATGTTCTCTGGACCCCAAATGTCAGCGTTAGGCTCTCACCTTAATGCACTTGGAATACTGCGCCAACACCTGCTCCACCTGATTTGCCCTCTTGGGTTCCTGAAATATCTGAGGGCAAGCAGAGAATGTCTCCCAGAAAAGGGTTTCAGGACCCCTGGCCTCGGGTCTGCTCTCAGCAGACGGGACCAGAGAACCCAGGCAGAGGCTCTGGAAACACCCTCTAGGCACAGTGATAGGGGACGCCAGGGGCAGGGGCCGAATGCGCTAAGCCCTCCATGGGCCCAGCCAGCGGTGTGACGTGCGTGAAAACGCCCAGGAACCCGGGACCCCAGTGGCAGGCTCTGGGGTCACTCACCTTCTTCCTGACAGCCATGCTGCCCAACAGGCCACTCTTCTCCCACTGGGCATGCACTTGGAGTAGGTAGTCGTAAGAGGGGAAGAAGCAGACGACCCCTCCAGGGATCACAGTGCACAGGTTACAGAGCACGCGGCCCACCTCATGCATCTGCGGGAGACAGGGAGCTTCCGAGGAGCCCTTCAGAGCCAAGCGCAAGGCTTCCTACCCTCCCAAAGGCAACTGTGGCCAAGAGGGCTGCAGCAGGTGGCTCCCCCGAGTGGGCATCACGGAATATGCCACCCTCCCTGCCAATACCCTGTAACAGGTGTCACGGCACTGGCACACCAGAGCGAAGATCTGCTCACTGGTGTGTCACCAGGTCCTTCCTCCTATCAAATCTCACGCCCAGGTGAGCAGCTGGGGATTTAAACACCTATGATAAAGCCCAGACGCCCTAACACCTGCACCCTGCCCAAGGAAGAAGCCCATATAAGCAGACGCCAAGAGGACCAAAGGAATGAGCCACTTTGTGTGAGCTCTATCTGAAGCATCTGGAGGTCGACAAGACTGGCTCACTTAGCAGCCTAAGGGACGGGAGGAAGCACCACACACCTTCCCTGATAAATACCTGGGTACCTGTGCTCCTGGGTAGCTGATAGGGGGCCCCAATGCCTGAATGCTCAGGAAAAACTTATCCCCACCCCGAAGTGCCTCTCCTGTCCTAGCAAAGGCTACTACTACTAACCATCTGAGGCAGCGCTCTCTTCTGGTACGTGAACTCCAGCTGCTGGTTGGAGGGTCCACAGGTGAGGACGAGGGGCAGGATGTTGTTCGGAGGGATCACGTGACCTGGTACGACCCAGAGAGGGGCTGAAGACTGGAGGATACCCTGTTCCAACCGCTGTCTTCCAGAGCAGGCGTCACAACATACAGCACACCACTCACCGGTGTCCGCAACAAAGATGGGGAAGGCTCTGACCCACCCTCCCTCCTGCACCCAGCGGAGCTGGAGACACGCAGCGTGAGCACATGGAGAAGTGAGCTCACAGCAAGCAAAGGGCAGGGGTCCTGCCACGTGGGCGCCGTCCCTGGGCCCGACAGGCAGCCCACTCCACCTGGACGTGGATCCTCACCGCAAGAGAACTCCACCACTCGCTCGGCTTGCACCCCAGCACACGCCAGCAGCTGGTCCCGAAAGTCAGACACCTGCAGGCCACAACGTCGAGGCTTTGTGACTTACCAGAAGCCAGGGGCAGGCAAGGGCCCTGGCAGAGAGGGGGTGAAAGACTGACAAAGACAGATTTGGGCAAGGGGACTGCAAGTACATAAGAACAGTGAGGTGAGGTGAACGGAAGGCCTGGCAGCAAATTAGCAACAAGGAAACTGGGACATCCGGCATTGGCGGCCAAACTGGAAACAGACAGGATCTGGCAGATCTGACCCACGTTGCTCTAGCTGCCACGCGGACAGTCACCAGAGGCAGTCAAAATTACGCACATGGCCGGGCCCCACAAGAATGGCCACGGGGAGGACATGCGAATTTGTGCTTTTTAAATACATGTTTTTCACCTGGCACATAGAAAACCTTAAATGTGCCCACTTTGTGGAGAAACAGGCACTCTGACCCATGGCTGGGGACGTACAAGGCAAGACAACTGCTGGAAGGCGATTTGATAACATTCATCCTGGCAATCCTGGATCTAGTCTCCCCGAAGACAGCTCCATCAATACCTGACGTGCACCAGGACAGTTTTTGTGACGTCTTTTATTGTTTTTAAGGATTTATTTGTGCCTATAAGAACTGGGTACAGGCCAGAGGAGGTGGGGGGATGTGAGCGGATTCCCCAGAGACAGAGTGGGGAGAACAGGCACCCACTGAAATACACTGCTGAGGGGAGGGGCCACACATCCTGTTCTAGGGCGTGTGCTGAGGAAGCAGCAGGAGAACTGCTCAAATTACCACAGTGTTGCTTAAACCCAAGAAAACAGGGGCCTCCCTGGTGGTGCAGGGGTTAAAGCACAGCACTGTGAAGCTCTCCACAGCCACTACAGCATGAGTTCAATCCCCCGACAGGGAGCTGCTGACCCACAGAGCACAGCAGACCTCTCCTGTCTCCCTGCTGCTCCCCTCAGCAGTGTATTTCAGTCAGTCAGCCGGTCTCTGGTGAATCCGTTCACCTCCCACACCTGACCTATAACCCAGTTCTTGTATGCGTGAATCTTAAAAAAAGAGAAAAAACTGGAAATGGCCTTCTAAATACCTAACAAAAGCAGCTCTATAAAGTAAATTCATGTACTAGAATGTAACACAGCTAAAATATGGCAGAATAAAAAGCACATTTGCTGACAGGGAAAAATGACCTTTTGTTGCTGAATAAGAAGCAAATCATTACAGCATGAAGAGAATACCCTCTCTTTTTAAAATGTGAGCATATATTTGCAAAAATTATGCGGAGAAAGATAATGATACACACCAAAATGAATCTTTTTGCTCACAGAATCATGACCTATTATTTCCTCTACTCTGCTGCTGCTTTCTACAGTGAAATACTCATAAAACAGAGGCCCCATCTAGGCCGGGCGCAGGAAGGGAATGGCACGGAGGCACCGAAGGACAAGCTGAGGCCCTGGCAGGGGTTTTCCATGGGAGAGGCTGGGAAACGTCACTGGGTGGGTGGCACCAGTGAGACAGCACTGCGAGGCCACCTGGTGGACACTGACTGGTCTGCTCAGGCCAACCCCTTCCCTTCCTGGCTTGGGGGCCAGTGGCGGGGAAGAGACCACTGCGCATCCTCCCCTGCCCCATCCTGACACCAGACACAGGCTGGGCGTGGGGTCTCACCGGCTGCATGGTGCCCCCCGCGATGACCACCGCCCGGCATTCCTGCACCACCTGCGCAAAGTGCACTGCGGGGTTCAGGAGCAGGAATTTGAGGCTGCTCTGACTGAGGGTGCCTGAAAGAGAGACAAATAAGACAGCTCCATGGAGCAGGCAGGCAGGCTGCTATCCGACACGAAGGGAAGCCCCAGTGGGGTCCGCAGACAAGGCCCGAGACACCACTTGCTCGTCAGCGCCTCTCATCTCTAGGACCACCCTCTGAGGCAGACGCTAGTGCAGAGCAGGAAACTGGTCCCAGGCGGACCCCCAGAGGCATCGCACCAAGACTGCAGCAGGGCACACCTCGCCCAGTCGGCGCGCTCCCCGCAGACCATCCGGCGCGCGCAGCTGCCCTCCCACCCCTCTCCCGGGAAGGGGGATGGCAGCAAGGCTGCCGACCCGCCCCGGCTCCTGGCATGGTTACCTTGGTGGCTCAGGATGACCCTGCCGTCCTGGCTGGCGGTCGTGAGCGCGGCTAGGAAGCCTTCGATGTGCATCAGCGGGGAAGCAGGCCGTGGCGCCGAGGGCTCCCCCTCCTCTGCAGGGGCCGCAGGAGCTGCAGAGCACAGGGAGGCAGAGGCTCGGGGCGCAGGGAGCGGGGAGGCCTCCTGCAGCCAGCCTCCCAGGCTCACCTGCAGTCGCCCCAGGTTGCAGGCTCTGTAGGAAGTGCTGAAATCCGGCCAGCCTGGGCTGCTCCCTGGAGGACAGGACTGTCCCGTACCTGTCCGTGAAGCCAAAGAGCTGGGGCCGGAGCAAAAGGGATAGGGAGGCGTGAGGACAGCAGCAGTGAGAAGGAAACGGGGATGGATGGGAGACTCGCCGGGGTGACAGCCACAGCCTACCCTCCCTCACCCCTGCAGCCCGGCAGGTGCCCTCGCCCAGCACTCATATGCTCTAGAGTAAGCGGAATGGAGACAAAGGGGACTGTGGTTTCCGAAGAGGAGAAAGGCACGGTGAGGGCAGCTAGCCGGACACCCTCGGGCCCCACCAGGCCCCCCGGGGAGGGTGTGTACCTTCCTGCTGATCATGCTCTTTTCACAGTAGCGCCGCACCTGCAAACCAAGCCTGGCGGTAGGCATGGACATTGGGAGGAAAGGCCACCGCCTGCTAACCGCAGGGAGCACAGCCCACCGCCACCTCGCGAGGCGCCCGGCCGCTGACCAGCCGCGGTCAGGCCTTTCTGAGGCCACACTGTCCCGCTGCCTGAACAGCACAGGGCTCCGCAGGGGAGGGCTCCGTCCCGCCTCACCTCCTCACACACGGCCGCCCTCTGAAGGTGCCCAGTGGCAGTTATGCCCCCGTGCTGGCCTCAGCGAGACGCAGCTACACTGGACCCTGAGGAGTAAGTCAGTTTTAAGCAATGCCACGAGTGACAGCACAGAGGAGGCACAGCCTGGAGCCCAGGGCTCGGCTGGAGTCCATTCCACGGGATGCACACGACGCGCAGCTGGCGTGCGCGGTGAGGAGTTCGCAGACTTTCAAGATTTCTGAAAAAGCTCTAGCTTTCCACTCAGATTCACTCTGGCCCCGAACAGGGGCCTGGATCAAGATATGGTCTACCCACACTCCTCAGCCACAAAATACAAACTCGGCCGTCCCAGCAAAAGGCAGGCACGAGGGGGTCAACGCACAGCAAAGCCGTCGGAATGGCAAACGGCGGGCGGAAGGAACAACTCAACGAGGTGCAACAGACAGACGCGCAGACGTCAATAAGGAAGGGAGGGCCTGAAGTTAAAGGGGGTGGGGGCCGGTGGGCTGCGGGGTACTGTGTAAGACCCGATTTCTACACCCACGCATAGTGAGACGTGAGGGAAGAGATTTACAAACTAAATATTCTCAAGTGCTCACGTTTCAGGTGAGTCTCACTCTCCAGTTTATCACAAAGGCATGTAGTGATAATCGGGGAAAGCCAGTTTTATTCTGGGGGCGACAAACACACTGAGCAATGAACATTTCCCTTCAAAATAAAAAACTGTACTTCAGGAAATCCCACAGATTAGACAGCAGTCTTGGATATTCTACTTGTATTTGTTTCCCAACAGATTAAAGCAGAAAACAGACACCACCAGTCTAGCAGGACAGTGCCTGACCTCAGCGCCCAGCCGGCCCTCGCGGGCCGACCGCAGGGTTCACTCATCTGTGAGACGAGCAGCAGCGAGGTGGCACGGAGCTTGTGTGGGTGTTAAAAAACGAGAAGGGCCCTCCATGGTGGCGCAGCGGGTTAAAGCACAGCACTGAGAAGCTTAAGCCACTTCTGCATGACTTTGATTCCCCGCCTGCCCCGGAGGTGACCACATGGCGCGGCAGACCTCTCCTGACCCGCCCGCTGCTTCCCTCAGCAGTGTACTTCGTCGATCTGCCTGTTCTGCTCCCCGCTCTGTCTCTGGTGAAGCCTCTCACCCTCCGCATCTCTGGCCTGTACCCCAGCTCTGTATGAATAAATAAATAAATAAATAAATCTTTAAAAAAAAAAAACGAGAAGGAAGTTCACTAGACTGCAGGTTGTAGGAGACACTGGAAAGGGCGCGGGGGACCAGGCGCAGAAGACGGCGGGAAGCCAGAGGCAGAGCGGAGCGCCGTGGAGGGGTGGGCAGGGCTGCGAGCAGCAGGCCGGCTGTCCGGAGGTCAGGCAGACAGAAAGGAAAGAAGGGCTCACGCCGGCTCTGCTCCCTCGCTACCGCACTCTGTGGCCTGCGGGGAGCCTTGCTGAGGTAAGCGCTCCGAGCGCCTCAGCTTCCCGTGCTTCTGGCCATTCCCCGCCTGCATGTCACAGAACCCAGCCCGGCTTGGAACACAGAGGTTCTCAGTGTTGCCAGCAAACTCGTCACGGAGGTTGCGAGTCCCGTGCTAGCTACTGTACCCCATGTCTGGGAAGGCCAAGCAGTCACCCCAAGTCGGCAGGGCAGGATGAGAGGGGTCAGGCAGCACAGCCTGACTCGGTCTAGCAGCGGGAACGTGCTCTGAAAGTAACTTGGCAAAGCCAAGACTGTGCCAGAAAGACGGAGCGGGCGGAGGGCTGGGGCCGCGGGGGTCTCCACTGGGCTGATCAGGTGCAAGGAAAGGCACCTTCCTCTCAGCCGCCCTTACGACTCTTGGGACAGAGGCAAGGGTGTTTTTTCCTGCTGACATGTTCTTTTGTTTCAGGAGTTAAGTAACCTCCATGTATTTATAGATGCTCTCGAGTGCTTGAGGACAGAAGTAAATTTGTTTCTTCCATAATCCTAACAGTGTTCTGTCCATATCCAGAGGCGGACATTCGACAGGCTGACATGAAAGAGGCGAAAACCCTACCTTGAACAGGTTGATGTTGTCAATCTGGCTTTGAAAGAGAAAGTCATTGATGGTCTTCAGCTCCGTCCCTGCACGTGAACAAAGAAAGAGCCTTGGAATCCTCACTCTGGAGAGCCGGGCTCCCAGGTCCCAGATGAGCTCAACAACTTGTCAGGACGACTGGCATCTGAGGGCAGCCCTCTTACCTGCCTGCGACAGGTTCTGTGTGTTGGGGTTTTGCTTTATATTGCCTAAAAATGAGAATTCAAACAGGTCAGGATGGCGGTCCTCTGCCCCCCTCTCGCGCACTGTGATCTATACTGTACTGTCAGATCAAAACGTCTGGGCAGCCTCCCCCCAGGGCACCTACAGCCAGCCCACTGAGGCCAGAGGGTCAAGAAGCCTGAGCGAGTGATGCCCGTGTTCGCCGTCGGAGCAAAAGCCTTGTGATCTCAGTCCGTTCACACCTCTTTCCAGGCAGGGCCTGGCCAACACCCCCATTTTACGCAGGACATGCCGAGCTACATGTTGCGCATATAGACACAGCAGCAAGGCAGGAATGGAAGTGAAGGCCCACAGGAGGCGAGACCCGCCCACACAGAAACCCTCCCTCAGCACCTTCCGAAAACTCAGCTCTGTACAAGCCTCCGAGGAACTGCCTTGCAGTAAAGGAAAGGTGGCGCAGCACCGCCGACTCGCAGGGGACCCTGACCCACGACCCGTCCCAGTTCCCCACCACAGGCAGGTGACTTCCCTGCTCTGAACCAAGTTCCTTGGCCCAACGATGAGGGCTCAGTGCGGGGCTGCTCTCCTCAGTCACCCACAGGATGGCCGCTGCGCACAGCACTTGATTACTACTACCTGTGGCACGGGCCGGCTGAGCAAGGAGACTCAGAAGAGGGGTCCGAGAAAATACCTACAGTCAGACAGTTTCACTGAGATAGAAAAAGAACTTTCCAACTTGATGGCCACAGAAAAGCCAGGTGACTGGCAGCCAGGGAAGAGTCCTGTGAGCTCAGCAGTCTGGATCTCACTCTGGGCTGGCTCGGCTCCTCCAAGGAGGCAGGGCTTACCACCTAGCACAGCCACAAACTTCTCCAGCAGATACAGGATCTGTTTGATGTACATCAGGTTCTTGGCCTTCAAACGCTTCCTGAGGAAAAACCCACGGACATCAAGTGGAAACACTCCACCAGAGACTTTCCTTTTAACACCTCCGCCTGAGGCTTTTTGTTTGGTGTCGTCGAAACTAGGTCACAAGCTATACTCTCTCAGGAAGAAAATGCCAGCCGTGGCCCAAAGCCTTCAGTCAGCTGCTGTGTTCTGACCATCCTCGGCTCGTGTGGGGTTACACCATGATGAACCATGAGGTGATCGTGGTGGTTCACACTAGTTGAACCTGGGTCAGAAATGGAGCCCCAGAGCTTCCTGCCAGAGGGGCTGCTAAAGCTGAGCGGGATGCCCCCCAAGCCCCTGGAGGTAGGTCTCACCCGTATCGTTCCATGTACTGGAGCAGCTGAGAATGGGCCTGGCAGAGCTGGAGAGAGAACAGAATGGATGTGAAGGCAGTCCAGGCTCTGGGCGTGCAATCCAGGGTGTGCCCGTGACATCTCAGATTACGCTAGAAATGCCAGCCCAGAACAGAGCTGGCAAGCAAGGTGAAAGCGGAGCTGGTGGAGACGAAAGTTGTGCATTTTGAAGGCCCTTGGTTAGTGAAGTTGTCACATGGGCTGCAGGGTCAGAAATATTCAGTGCTAACATCTATGAATCGCCACGTTCAATATAAAGTTGCTCACCTGCTCAGGGTCATGAAAATGAGGCAGAAATGGAGCAGAGCACCAATATGAGACAAAAATCCCACATGGGGCCTCCCTGGTGGCGCAAGGAGTTAAATCGCAGCACTAAGAAGCTGTCTGGAGCCACTGAGCAGGAGTTCAATCTCTGGCCAGGGATGTGGCCCACATGTACATCAGACCTCTCCTGTCTTGCCCGCTGCTCCCCACTGTCTCTGGTGAATCCTCTCACCCCCATACCCCTGGCCTGTACCCCAGTTATTGTATGCATAAATAAATCTTTTTTAAAAATCCCATGTGGTGTCATAATAGCTTAAAAACAGTGGCTTTCAGAAATCTCAAGCATTTCTCAGTTAAATCCCCCCCAAAGCATCAATAACATCCAACCACACGAGGACCCCGCTCTAATGCCATCACCCTGGGTCATGGAGACGAGCTGGCCGCATCCTGGGCTGGAGGGCCTTGAGGCAGGCCGTGCAGAGCAAGGAAATGAGCCACATGACCCAAGCTAGTCTCCACAGCGCTCAGATCTGCTGGCAAGCCAGAGTGGGCTTGGCTGGCCCCTGCTGCGGGCCGTCTCAACCAAGCCCACCTCCAAGCAGTCCAGCTCCAGGCACTTCGAGAGCCGACCTTGTTGCTCCGCCCACAGGCCCCGGCTCAGAGAGCAGCTGACCCACCTGGGAACCGCTGACCTCGGTGCTGTGGATGCCGGTGATGGTGTCAATCAGGTTGTGTGCCTCGTCGATGATCACCACCTGGCCCCGCAGCCGGATGCCCGCCGCCTGCCGGGTGGCCGCATGCAGCAGCATCTGGTAGGGCAGCACCACCAGCTGGAAGAGGAGATGCAGCCCCTGAGCAGCAGGCTCGCCAGCCCACGCTCAGCTCCTAATGTGGAAGTTTCATGCCTCGCCCAGAATAAAGTGGGGTCACTGGGACCAGGCTTTGCGCCCCTCTTTCCTTGAAAGTTAAATAGGACAGTGAAAACTGGAGGTCTGGCTTCTGACAGAACACAGGTAGGGCTGGGGTAGGTATGGGATGGTGAGGAAAGTGGAACCACTGGGGTTTAGACTGGGCCGGTGCCCCAAGGCACCCCAGCCTCCTCAAACACCACGAAAACCACCAGTCGCCAGAAGCAGCCCCGGGTCCTGTCCTAAAGTGATTTTCCTAGCTGCGTTTTCCTGGGCAAGTCACCAACATCCCTGACCCTTCATTTCTTCAATTGCAAAATGGGCCCAAAAAACTCTCGAGTGAGAGTCCAGGGTAACATAAATGCACTCTGAAAATTTTGTTAGGTGTTGTTTTGATGAAAGAAAAGGAAGTCTGAGAAAGGAAAACATGCAGAAAACAAACTTACAGCCTAGATTTGGAAAACATGCAGAAAACAAACTTACAGCCTAGATTTAGAAACGGGCTCCATTACCCTCTTGCTATGAGAAAAGAGAATTCATTTAACATTTCTGGGCTCCAGTGTCCTCACATGAAGAAGTAAGGAACACAGCCTTACTAGGATGCTACCAAACAAAAACAAGGTGAAAATACCTCCAAATGTCAGGATCGCACAAATTTCCATGACCTCTTGCTGTATCTGCACACAAGCATCTATAGCCTGGCACCGTAGCGCCGGCCCTGGAAAGCCCCAGGACAGCTGGGAGGCCCTGGAGGCCACACGGGCAGGCAGACTCAGGAGCACTAACTGCCAGCTAGTTAGCACTGACACAGTTCCCTGCATCTTTTAAGATCTACTTAAATTTTTTCTTAATTATACAGGAATCTCCACAAATGATCTCCTATATCCAAAAGTCACTCAAATTAAGAAAGACGCAAGGAAACCATTAATGCACACCCACAAAGAACAATGCCATCATTTAAAGCCTGTTAAATTCAGTTTTCCGTCTAACGATAACACTCAATGTGGCAAGTCCAGGCAAGATTGGGCTGATGGGCTGCAGTCAGTACTTAAGGCAAGAACAGTCGCTCAGAAGGGTGGTGTGGCAATGACCTACACTCCCTCACCCACTCCTGTTTCTGCCCTGGCGTCACTCACAGGACTCCAGGGACACACATTCCCTCCTGGCTCTTACCTGCTATCCCCCAATAATGTCAACTGCAGCCCAGAGCTACCAGGGGACTCGGGCCACCTCTGACCCCATACCAGGGAGGGGGTGAATGTCATCAGTGTGTAGCATGCCAGCTGGCCCAGCCAGGGCTGCTCACTTCTTCCCGAATTTAAGGACTGAGGAATCCCTCAGGGCCTAGGCCACAGCTAAGTCAAGAGCTACAGCCCAGCCCTCCAGAGTCTTCACCTGGGCTGCTGGGATGGCAAGCCGGCTCCCATAGTAGGGGCAGGCGCGGGCCTCCTTCCCTAGGGTCACCAACTGCTCGATGTCCTTCACTTCCACCAGGACCTCGTCTCGGAGAAGCTGCAGCTGCTCGTAGCTGTAGAAGGGACAGGCGGCCCGCTGCTCCCGCCGGCTCCGCTTGGGCTTCTCTACCTCCTCTCCCTCAGCGCTGCTCTTGCTCCCTGAGGGAGGCACAGCAGAAGGGGGACCATGCAGAGAGAACGGTAACTGTCCACAGGCCTGTTAAGACCCACTGGCAGAGCCCATAAAACCTGTCAATCACTACTTCTGGTTTTCTGGTATTTCATTTTGGACTCTCTAGAAAAAGCTCGTTTTGGATTCCTTCATCTCAAGGTCAGGATTTTGGATTAGGTGCTGACACAGAGAACGAGAACTCTTTTCCCGGGGAGAGGATCTTTGGGAAGGAGCCAGGGGTCTGTCCGCTCAGCTGTCATTTCCCTGTGAGACGCTACCTTGACTTCCTCTCCCACCTTCTCTCTCCCCTACCACTGCCCAAGGGGACAATCTCGGGGCTCTCCCTGTGACCCAGTGGAACTGGGGTACCATGCTTGCTCCTCTGCATCTCCATGCACCGGTCATTGATGAGCTGCACTGAACCCAGGTTTTTCACATCTTCATTTACACAAAGGTTCTGTAAAGCAGGGGGAAAGGGCGAGTCAGAGTGACGAAATACAGCAACCCACTAGGCTGCACAACTAGCCGCCTCCATTTCCCAAGGACCCGAAGTCGCCAGGCAAAGGCCACTCCCTACCCCTACGTGGCCTGCCTCAGTGGGACCTTTCTGTCTGGAAGAGGAAGACAGAGGCCCAGGGCAGGGTGAGAGATGCCCCGGGCACACGCTGCCTGTTTACCTGCCGGGAGCCCAGGGAGACGACCCGGGTGTCCTTGCCAAAGGGGCTCTTCTGCACTTCATGCACAAACTGGGCCAGCTGGGAGTGGGTCCGACTGCAGTAATAAATCTGCTGAGGCAAAGCAGGAGTTCAGAGAGACCCGAACCAAATCCAAGTATCTTCTGCACATCACGGCCTAAGAGACTGAGGGAACGGGGAGTGCGGGCACAAATACCCATGCCAGATCTCTCCCCCATGCACCTCAGCTGGTGGGACGCAGGGACTCCCACTGCACCCACAGCTCCAAAAGCTCGAGAGCACCCACAAGATGGGACTCTGCATCAGCCACACTCAGCTTCTCATGGAACCTCTTTGGGGGCGGTGCCCGTCATAGGAAAGGGTATTTGCCCTGAATGCTGGCCTTGATATGGAAGACTCCGTAAGTGAAGCCCCAAATACACATCCCCCAAAGGGCTTGGAGGAGGCTGAACTGAATTAAAAAAAAAAAAGGGGGAGTAGCTCATTTCAACTGAGAAAACAAGTTGTATGAAACCAAACGGTTTGAAGGGTGAGAAGTGTCGGAACCACACAAACCCCGGTGCGCTATGTCAGTGGAAACGCGGGAGCAACAGGCCGCCCAGCCAGGCGGAGGGGCGCCTGCTCTGGAGTCAGTGGGGTGAAGGCATGTCTCCACAGGAGGGTGGCAACAGCCGGAGGGGTGCTTTCTCCCGTGAGGAGAGAGCAAGCACCGAGGTCACCGCGGCTTACCTTAGTCACATGCTCTTCCTCCAGGTCATCCTCATCCTCGTCTATTCTGAGGAGACAGAACAAAGTCTTCTCAGTGAGCACAAGTCAACTAGAAACAGCGCTACTGAGCATCCCACACGCCCTCCGCAGCCCTGTACGTGAACCAGGAAGGTCTCCCCTCAGAAGGCAGCGACGGAGCCCAGCAGGAGCAGGCAGACACAAGCCGAAGGTAAGGATTCACCAAGTGGACACGGAGCCCCCACCCCAACCCAGTAACACAACCCCACCCTCCTGCTGCTGCCGAGAGGGAAAGGAGAAAGGGGCACAGGATGCCCAAAGCCCGGGTCCAGCGTTTGCTGGCCATCGAGGGCTACTGTCCACTCTCTGTCAGCCCTCCAGCTAACCGCACTTCCGGCAGTCCCCATGACAGTGACTTTCGTGTCTCGGCCCTGAGGAGCCACAGGCCACGAGGTCAGCAGAGCCAGGCGAGCAGCTGCACGGATGAAGCGTAAACACGTAAGTCTTCAGAGCCGGCCGTGTCCTCAGGGAGGGTCAGGCCTCTCGAAACTGGAAGCGATCAGGAGGAATGGAAGCTAATTTGCAGGATTAGCGGCTCCAGCCAGAACCCTCAAGGCACTTTGTCTCTCATGTTCATATCCAGTGAGTTCACTACCCTGTCTCCAGAGGGCTCTAGGGAAGCAGCAGAGCTTGGCCAGCAGGCCTGGAGGCAGGCAGACAGGGCTGACAAAGCGCGGCACAGAGTCCAGAGGCCCAGCCCTGGGAAGGGGCAGCAGTTCTCGAGTCCAGGAATCTGTGCTCGCGGCAGGATTCGGAGCCCCCAGGGGCTCCATGTTCCCACCCACTGAAGAGGCAACCATCCTGCCCTCTGGGGTCCTGCAGAGCACTTCAGTACAGGAAAATGAGGCAGGAAGTAATTTATGGAGGGGGAAAAACACTCATGAGAAACAAACCTATCCCGCTGTGGCCCATTTTGTTTCTTCTACAAAGTTTTAAATAAATATAGAAGTCTCCAGGTCATCACTGTTACGGGGCTTGGAGACTGCGCTCCTGGTCTTGGGAGGGCAAATGGTGAAATGGCCAAAACCGCTGAAGACACATTTTCACTCAGGAGTCTGAAAATGTCTTGAGCAGGGACAGTGGTCACAGATCCGCCAGTAAAATGAAGATCACAGATGCTTGAGCACCACCAAAATGCTCTTACACATGAGCTTTAGTAAATAATTTCATAAGGGGCTTCCCTGGTAGCGCAGGGGTGAAGTCTCAGCGTGATCATCAAGCTCTGCGGCCTGAGTTCGATCCCCGCCCCGGAGCTGACCCACATGGCGTGGCGGACCTCTCCTGACCCGCCCGCTGCTCCCCTCAGCAGTAGACTTCGTCACTCTGCCTGTTCTGCTCCCTGCTCTGTCTCTGGTGAATCCTCTCACCCTCTGCACCTCTGGCCTGTATCCTACCTCTGTATGCAAAAATAAATAAATCCTTTAAAAAAAAAAATGAAACTGGATCACTATCTTACATCATACACAAAAATCAACTCAAAATAGATTAAAGACTTAATGTAAGACCTGAAATCACGAAACGCAGGGTTACTGTTCTCAGGCATCAGTCCTAGCAGTGACCTTTTGGATAGGACAACAATGACGCAAGCAACAATAAACAAGGGAACTTCAGCAATGGACACGCCACACTGAAAAGCCAACCTGTGGACGGGGAGAAAACACTTGCACAAAACATTTATCCGATACTTAAAATTCAAAATAGGTAAAAACTGCACCTGAAGAGCAAAACATCCCAAATAATCTGTTTTAAAAATGGGCAAGAGTTGAACAGACATCTTTTCAGAGATATTCAAATGACCGAAAGAGACCTAAATAGGCATTCAACATGACTAATCACCAGGGACATGCAAGTGCAAACCCAATGAGACATCACCTCACACCCGTTGTCAGACAGCTACTAAAAAAGGCAAGCAACAGAGGAGGGGATGGTGACAGAGCTATGTGCTGTCTGAAGGCAGCATGAAGGACCATCACTTTGATGGCCCTCCCTGGTGGTGCAGCTGTTTAAAGCCCAGCACTGCGCTTCAGCATGAGTTTGAGCCCCGGCCAGGGAGGTGACCCACATGGTGCAGCAGACCTCTCCTGACCCGTCCACTGCTCCCCTCAGCAGTGTACCTCATTGATCTGCCCGTTCTGCTCCCCACTCTGTCTGTGGTGTATCTTTTCACTCGCACCCCCACACCCCTGGCCTGTACCCCAGCTCCTGCATACATAAATAAATCTTTAATTTTTATATACTTGAAAGTTAGTAAAGTTAGATGTTTAAAATTCTCACCACACGGACTCATTAAATATGAGGCAATGATGTGTAAACTAGCCTCATCAACAGTCACCACTCCACAGTAAATATATACCGAAGCGTGACGCCAAACACCTGAAACTCACATGATATTCTATGTCAACGAATCTCAATAAAACCGCCAGAGTCAAGGAATGAGACCACCGAGCGGCTGGGGTGAAGTTAGACGGTGCACGGCAGCCACCCTGTGCAGTAGCACAGATTCTCCAAGGGAGGGTTTTAGGCCTGGGAGCTGTACTCAGGCTGTCCCAGAGACCAGTGTCACCAAGATGTGGGACACGGGTACTTGCGGGCACCCTGAGAGCAGCAGGAACCTGTGCCCAGGTGAGGGCCCACAAAGGGATGGTGCTTTGTAGGCAGTCATGCCTTGGGGAGTCCAAACGGGAGCCCCTCCTCTCAACTCCCCCCATCTCCCGGGGCACTGAGGACACCCACGCCTCTCAGTGGTTTACAAGACCTGAAGAAACTGCGTCTGCCTTGTCTTCTGCTTCTCTCCGCCCCCGTCTCTGGCAGCTGTGTCCCTTTTGGTCCCTTAAACACACAAAGCCACTTCCCATTCCCTGGCCCCAGGCTTCAGTCCCTGACAAGAAACATCCATCTTCCATGGTGCTTTCTCAATCTTCAGGTCTTGCTGCAATGTCCTCTCCTGACTGCTCTACCTGGGCGCCCCCTTGTCCTGTCCCGTTTTCCTCCTGGGTAGATGTGCGCACTTCAAATAAGGGCTGTTCTGTTGTCAGTGTCCCTCCACTATGCACCAGCCCCGAGGCACTTCACGTCTGTCTCCTGCAGCTCAATCACTGCCTCCGCGCCTGAGAAAGTGCTACACCCGTCAGACACTCAGAGGACACCTGGGCAGGCAAAGTCCGGGCGAGAGGAGGTGCTCATGAGGAGCAGCGGGCTCTGAGGGCCCTACTTGGTATCTTCAGTATTTCCTAGCGAGTAGCTCATGTAGCAGAGAGGCCCATGAACCTGATCAATGGCAGCCTCTGGCGAAAAGAAAAACCCAGGTTGCGGACACCTGATGGCCTCTGTCATAAAGGCCACTCAGCGTGGCCGGGGGCTAGGAGCTTGAGATCTCAAGCCCAGCCGCCGGTTCACATGCCAGTCGGGGCTTCCTGCCTGGGCCCTCCGCAAGCGCATCACCTTGCCGGGCCGCAGCTGCCTCACGTGGCAGGCACACACGTCATCATGCCTAGGGCATTAACACGTGCGCAGCAGAGCCTGGTGGGCAGGGCTGCCAGTGTCACGGAGGGGTCTCTGAGGAGCCGGGCAGGCCAGGCCTTCCAGGGCCTGCGAGTGACAGAGAAGTCGGCCTCTGCGGGCCTGGGGCAGAAGCTGCTTCTCCGGAGGCCGAGTAGCAGTGGGCTGGGCGGTGGGTAGAGCAGAAGCCTCACCCGCTAGCTGCTCCTTGCTCCTCATCGCTCTCGTACTCAGCAAGCACCAGCTCCTCCTCCCCAGACTCCAGCTGCTCGTCCCCTGTTCCCGCTGCCAGCATCTCCCTGCTGAGGCGGAGGAGACGCTCCGTCTCTTCTTCTTCCTGTCTCTGGGTGGGGGTTGCAGGTGGGAAAGAGAAAGAAACCTTCACTCTGGTGTCCTCTCCTTCACCAAGGCAGCTGCAGTGCGGCTGTCGCCAAGGGGAACGCACCCCCACGTTACGAACAGGCCTCACTGTAGCGACACCCAGGAGTTCGGCTCCAGCTGCTCCACTACTGGGTGGAGAGAGCTCGGCCAGTGGGGCCAGACAGAGGCTGAGGCGCCAGCCACTCACTCAGAGGAGCCCCACCATGACGCCCCAAGACAGCGCCATGGCCTGGGGCCCCCGGCCACTCCGAGACACTCACCGCGCGCTTGGCCGCATACTTGAGCTGCGCGTTGTGACGGAGCTGCTGCAGGCGTTCTTCTCGCTTCTTCCTCTTGACCTGCTCCTCCTAGGGGGAAGGAGCCACAGAGGCAACTCCTGCAGGGAGCCCCACGCCAGGCCTTTCACAAAGCATCTGGGCTGCTCACACAGGCAGGTCTTCCTCAACAGCCCACATCAAGGCTGCTGCCAGAGACTCAGCCTCACCCTCGCATGCTCTCAGCGACATTCACTCCTAATTGAGTTTGCAGCTGCGGAACCAGGTTGCCAATGGCAACAGCGGGGTTCCTTTCCCAGGTGGGTAATGAATGGATCCGCCACCTCCGACTAGAGAAAGCCTATTGATACCAGCTTTAAAAAGAGGGCAAGGGCTGAGTACCACTGACTCCAGAGAGACAGAGCACTCAGAGGTACTGCCAGGGCAGAGAACAGGTGACAATGAATCTCAAAATCAGCCCACAGCAACCATTAAGTCCAGCTTCCTGGACCCACTCCCACCCCGGTGACCCCAGACCTTACCCTGAGTCGGTCCACCAAATCCCGTTCTTCTTTCTTCTGCACAAACTGAGTGACCCAATCGGGCTCTCCAGCAGGCCTCAGAGTGGGGTCAGCGCTCTCTTGGCGGGAAGCAGAGAGAAGGGAGGACTGGTCTTTCCCATCAGTTAAGAGGGCAGTTCCCGCTTCAAGGAGACGTGCCTCCTCTTGACGCTTCTTCTGCTCAAAGTCTCGGAGCCAGGAGAGTGCCCCACAAATGAGACTCAAGGATTTTCCCTAAAGGAGGGAAACGTTTTCAGAAATAGAGCACAAAAAGCAAAGCTTTCCAAATGACTCAAATGGATGCCACTTTAACAGAGCCTTCAGGAAAGACATGATTTCAAATATCAGAGGTGCTGAAAGACCAGCCTGGGAAGGAATTAGCAAGAGAGCTAGGAGAAATGAATACAAATGCAGTTCTTGAATCACACAGCTCACGGTGCCTACAAGAATTCCAGCAAGACCTATCAGGTTATATGTAAGTACTGCAAGTTACCCTAATGTAATTAGAAAGTGAGAAATTAAATAGCCCTCCCCCCCCCAAATAATTGAGGTCAAACTCGGAGAATGAATCCCCACTTGCTAAAGGGGAGACACGTGTAGCTGAGCACTGGTTCTGCCAATGAGCAGACCCACTGATCCCATGAGTCCCAGCACCAAAACTCTCAAAAGCAAATCAACCTGAAAACGACAACAGTTGATCTAGAGACCAGCAATGACCTGTGTGTCATTGCTACGGTTTGCCTGGTGTGTGCCCCTCCCAGTCGTAACCCGCAGTTTGTCAGAATATGATCTCATTGAGCAGTGAGGCGATTACAGGTGCTATTTAGTCAAGAGGTGAGGGACCCTGATCCACTCTGTCACCCTTGCAAGGAGGGGAGAGGTGAACACAGATCACATGGGGAAGGCAGGCTCGGTAGCAACACAGGCAGAAGGGAAGACCCAGCAACCGCAGGACACGGCCAGCAGACCTCCCCTGTCTCGCCCGCTGCTCCCCTCAGCAGTGTACGTTGGTCAATCCACCTGTTCTGTCCCCCCTATCTCTGGTGAATCCTCTTAACCCCCACACCTCTGGCCTGTACCCCAGCCCTTGTGCATAAATAAATAAATCTTTAAAAAAAAAAAGTTGAGGAAGTTCCTAAGAGTATGGCTAAAGTTATCTTCCAAAACCAAAGGTGGGTACAAGCTAACATGAGGAAAGGGTATCTGAGGCCATGCAGGTCCATTTCCTTTAATAGGTAGGACTACAAAAATGTTAGAGCAGAAAATGATGTGTAATGAAATAAATATAATAATAAAAGTATCTACAATATACCTAGCTCTGAGTGATGTTACTTGAGATACCATCCCAGTAAGTCATAAAACCTGTGCCAAGAAAAGTAAGCTCCCGCTTCCTGCACACCGTCAAAGTAGCACAGGGCTTGGGGCTGGGAACGGAGCGGCAGGCTCTCTGGGAAACGCCCACCAACACAAACTTCACACACAACCCCCAGGCGTCATCACTGCTAAGCAC